CTTACAATTCTAAGATATTTAACCATAAAAAAAATTTGAATAAAATAGAATAAAATTGTTGAATATAATTGTTATAAGACCATAAATAACAAAAACAAATTACTTAAGAACGAGCAAACCTAAAAGTTAAACATTCTAAAAATAGAACTACTTATTAACAAAAATCAACAACTACAATGATCAAGTGTGAATTGCAGCGGAATAGCTGCGCTTGGTTGTAGTTGGCTTAACAACAGGTAAGACAACTGGTTTAGGTGGCTGCGGTCTTTGGCGTTCTAATCCCAGTCGAAGAAGTCTGATGTGGTGATCTCTGGAATAGCAGCTATAACTTTTACCCAAATGTAAATTGTTGTTTTTTCGGCAAAAACTTTCACTAAAAACCGCCTCAAGCTCAATAAAATTGTTGAATAAAATAGAATAGTAACAACAAATATTAAATAATTGGAAGATAAGGCGCCCTCGATAGTTAATGACTAGGGAAGACTAAAATATCCACAAAAAAATTGATTATATTATCATTAAAATTACCCTAAAATATTAAAAATATGCTTGATATATGCCCCAAAAATTCATATGTATAACGAACATTTTTTCGATTATGACATAAAAAATGTTTTTTTACATACATATATGTATGTATTGAACGATCTACGTCAAAAGACTTTGTTAGATAGAATTTAAAAGATGACAATTCGCCAGATGAAAATATTGCAACATTTTATTGAAGTGTTGCTTCACGCTTTATGAAATTGGCCCCTGGAAACTGTTAAACAGCTTTCGCTAAAAATTAAACATTTTCATTGAATTTTTCAATCACCAAAACGGGTTTAGCGCGAAACTTCACTATTGCAAATCGACAGTCGAAATTTTTTTACGAGATTATTAAAATTGTTTACTAGAAAATAACGGGATATTCCATTGCTTGTCAGCCTTTTTTTTTGTCAATTAAACAAACCTCGTCAGCAACCCTGGCTATCTCAGCAAAGATATTGTCAGATAAAATTAAGCGAAAATTATGTTACTTATTACCAAAAAAACAATTTTTATGCATTTTTTATGATTTTTATCCAAAATATATATTTTGTGTTTCAATATGCATTTATATATTTTTGTCTTCCCTATTAATGACAGACCTGCGAGAGTATTTTGATATAAAAAGGTTTCTTATAAAATCCAGCAGAATTTTATATATCTATAGGCGTTTTTTTTTTTTTTTGAAATCTTGACTTTCCAACTAGCGAATAAACCGGATTTTTTATCGAACAAACCGATTTATTCATTTCATACAAATCTTGACCTCTCAATAAAGTTTTCGAGTTTTTCGAAATTTTCAAGGCTCTCTTCCAGCTTAAGCGAAAGCACTGAATATATTTAAAATGATATGCTAGGTTATTTAGGTATGAACAGTATATCAGATTTGAATCCAATAATTGAATGTTTGGCGCTTAAACGTTTTTTACGTGTTTAGCCGAGCTTCTACTTCAATTCGTGCTCTGCTTCATGTTGTTGTGACACAAATAGAGAGATCTTCACTTTTACTCCAGATTGTAAGAAGCTTTTTTATGTCAAAAGTTATGCCGAAGGAAGGCCGTTATTAAAAACTACGTATTTTTTATGTTGCTGGACTCTACTCCTCAGATCGAAAGAAGTTCAATAAATTGCAATATATTTAAAAAAAAAAAGGTAAAATAAGACTAAACATGATTTTTTGCTGATTTTTATTTATTTTACTTTGGGTCTAAAAAAAAATTTGAACTTATTCTGCTTTGTTTATTTTCCTAATGAAACCTATCTTTACTGTTGATAGTTTCATTGTAATTGTTGGTCATGATTCCATGCCCCATAAGCATTTGCCAAGTATGAATACTGTGTAAAAGAAAACCGGTTTATACGGTTGTCTCTTAATTTCAAAATCGGGAATCGCTTTTTTGAAATTGCAATTTTTCGATTAAATCGAAAACCGGGTTTGTAAAAAAGGCGATTAATCGAACATCCTACAGAGAATGTAATCATTTATAGAAGCTTAGATGTTTCCGGGGTTTTAGGAAACCCATCAGTCTCACCCCTTTGGCGTAGAATCGATCGTTGACACTTTTTTTAACTTTGTTAAATTATATATTAAATTTAAGTTCACAAGCCGACGGAGCTTAAATACATACATAGCATATCGAGCCCTAACCGCCAAAATAACGTAAGCGACATTTTTTTTCAAAATTTTATTTTTGATGCAGAAATATTCCTAGAGCATCTAGATGCATTTCTGCATAAAAAATAAAATTTCGAAAAAAATGTCGCTTACGTTATTTTTGCTGTTAGGGCTCGATATGTTTACATTCGGTGTAGTCGAGATAATTTGAGACCGTGCGAGCAGAAGTTGTCTAACCCACATTTTTTTATTTTTTTGTACTTAACTTTTTAAAATTGTTTCAAATGTGATAAATCTTAAAATAAAAGTCGCTTCTTCCTTAATTTGATGGTACGCTATTTAGCTTTGTACCTTTAAAAAAAGCAACGAGCGACTTTTATTTAAAACTTTATTATATTTGAGACTATTTTAACTAGGTACATAGTACCAAAAAAAAATCTTGGGTTAAGCCTTTCTAGTCGCACGACCTCATTTATTTGGGTGCATATGCAACTTTCATCTATTTTGCTTATTTTCAACATTATTTATGTAGTAAATAGATACGCACTTCTTCAAAAAAGTTCCATAAACTCTTAAGATTATTAATTACAAAACTTTGACAAAGTCACTAATAGTTTTAGGTGTAAAGTTTGTAATTATTATAAAATCGTAAGGTTGTTTGCATTAATCAACTTTAGCAGCCACAAGTCGTTTGTGTATTAAATTCAGTGCAAAATCAGGTTAATTGCAATGAGTGACCAATCCATGGAGAGAAACTGCAGCTTTTAAACGGCTAAGGCCAAAACTTAAGAAAGTTTAGAAATGCAATATTATTGACCTTCGCAGTTTGCGCGACATCATTGTGCGTATATATGCATGTTAGGGTTGTCCTTAAAGTATCCACATCTAAATTTTGTATGGGGCACCCCCTTCGTCTTTATGAGAGCAACAGAAGCCAAATCAACAATTTTTAGCATTTTTGTCTGTATGTTTGTACGCGCATGCAAGGAATCAAATACAGTTTACACCGATCTATTGCTCGAAATATTGCTTAAAATATAAAAAAAAATTAGGTAAAATCATAAGATAAACTAAATATTGCAGTATGGATGTCAAACAAAAAAGGCTCACAGCCGGAACAATTTTTGTGGAAGGTTGCCACCTGTTTGAAAATTTTAATTAAATTTAATTATTAAGATAAATTAAATATTGCAATATGGATAACCAACTAAAGAGGGTTACGAAAGTTTACTGGCGAAAATATTTTTGTGGGGGGTTGCCACCTGTTTAAAAAAGTTAATTCAGTTAAATTTATATGATAAGGCAAATACTGAATTAGTACACCTTTGAGGAAAGTGCGCGATATGTAGACTCCAGTTATAAGATTATAAATTAAATTTCTAGCAGAAAGCCGATACTCTACCTATTTTCTAAATACCTTCGAAGATATATTAAAAACAAAATAAAAATTTAAAATAACGATCAAAAATTTATTGAAAAGATAAAAATCCAAAAATATCGATTATTCTCAACCGAAAAAATAAAAACCATAAAATAACGGTTAAATTTGACCAAAGCGTCCTTTGTTTGTCGAAATATTATTTACATAAAAAATGGCAGCTTCATACGCAATTAAGCAGGTATCCTTTATTAAATAACAAAAAAAAAAATAAAAAATAAAGTGGCTTTTTAAAGAGAAATTTGGCCAAATTTCCCATAGTGCAGTTGTAAAACCGTTTCCATGAACGAGAGATAATAGAATTGCCTTCAAAATGACAACAAAATATCGCACTAAACAGGTTATTTTTTACCTAAATCAGATCACTTTAACTATACTATTTAATAGAGCCTTAAATTTCTTGAGTACCAAATTTTTTATTCCGCACCAGATTTTGCGGCTCGCTTTGGAAAGCAGTAACTTATATTTACGACGCATTCTAATGTAAATACTAACAGCTGTGACCGCATATTGTTCTTGTCAGTCACTTTATTGAGTTTTTTTTGTTATTGTGGCCTTCATTATCTCCCTGAGCGTCAAATATTCATAGCCAAGGAATAAATACCACTGATTGAATGAGATGAATATATTGAGTTGTTTTGGTTATTATATTCAAATTTTCTTTCATAAGTTTACAGTTCATGATTTTACGCTAATCCCAAAGCAATAACTAACATAAACCCTTTCATTACAGCGATTATATTCACTCATTCCTATAATGGTGCTTGTTCTCAAGTGAAAGTTTGTAGATACTTTTCAAGCTACATAGATTATTCTGAAATTCGCAAACGCAAGTACGTGCATACTTACATACATACACATGTGCGTACATATTTACTCATATACAGTAAGATTGCTAATGGTAATTTGTATTATTATTATTTTTGTTTTTGCTCCCCAAACGCTTTATATTTATTTTGATTCTCTGTCATGCAAAGGTCAGCAAAAGTTACGAGCGTGTTGATGCTCGCATGCAACTATGTATTCTTTAAAGTCATCGTGTTGTTCTTGCAACCAGTGTGGTTTTCGGTTTATTTGGTTTTTTATTTATTTACATATATTTTTTTATTATTTCTTTCTTTTGGATTAACTTTTTTATCCACTCAAATAAATACGTTGCCAAAGTAGACAAATCCACTGGAGATAAGATATTTTTATTTGTATTGGCGCTTTCATGCAAATTCCCCCGAAAAAAATGCACATGTGTATATGACAAAAAAAAAAACGTCCAAGGCGTAGCAGTGATGGTGGCGAAGAGGCGTTGCTGGCTGACAGGCGTGTTTTGAATTTATTAGTAGGCGCACAATTCGAAGTTAAGCCAGAAAATTAATGAACACAAAGCTATCACGAACATACAAGCAAACGAG